CTGTAATCAAATTATCTGGCTTAACAAAATGCATTGGCAGTTTGGGATCTAATTCCCTTGGCTAAAATTTAAAGATAAATATTAAAAATTTAAATGTAAAGGTTAGTTTAACACTGTCAAAGATGTGACCTGTTCTGTCTGTCTAAAACTGTATTTCATTCGAGAACCAAGAGAAGAGATGGAAAAAAAAAAACTTAGAAACCAACAGAAGACCTATCTTTAGGGGTAAGGGGTAAACAAGCAGAAGTGCAGTTCAGCTGGCCATGCATGGTGGGACAAGCCCTGGGAGGAGTCCACGCAGGGTGAAAGAGGGTAAGCTGGCACAAGCGCAGTTCATCTAACCCTAAAGAGTCAGATTGGGTGTGCCCATTCCATAGAAGGGGCCGAACGGCCCATCTTTGTTCTCTCTTTTCTCTGCAGTCAGACACTGAAAACATGATGGTTAAAATGAGTGATGTGATGACCTGATTAGTATTGCTAAAACTTCCCCTTGGATGTGTTAACATTAAAATTAGAAAGGCCTTAAAAAGAGGGCCAAAAAGTTATTTGTATAATGTGGCTTACTTTCAATTATGTTCTACAATTAGGATGTTTTTAAAAGTTATAAAGATGTTAAGTCTAGCTTCGTGGTATAGTAAAGGTGACTGTAATTCCTACATTAAAAAAAAATTGTCATTTAAGTGTAAAAGTTTTAATGTGTAAAAACAAGCAGCCAAGAGACAATGAGTGACACTTGGTCTCAAGATTTTAAGAGGTTTTTTAAATGCAAATAAAAACTAAAGTATATTAAAAAAAGATTAGTGAGAAACTTTAAAAAAAATAAAAAAATGGATTTTGGGATATAAAGTTTAAATGTAAAATTGTTCTTGACATTGGCCTCAATGTGCACAAAGGGAAAAATTAAAATTACCAAAATAATTGCTATTCTAGCTTGCTCTTATAGGCTTTTTAAGTTTCCAGCAAGCCCAGAGCAAAGCACAGAGGATTCTTACAAGTTTGTCAGATGTAACTTTGACTCTTAATAAGTTTCAGGTAAGAGCATGCTTAAAAGCTACTTCTATGTTGACCACCTTGTTGCTTTTAATTGGAGTAAAGTGGCCTTTTATAAGACGCATTGATCTGCAAACTGGTTCGAAGCCAGCCCGGGCAGAAAAAGGTCCCTGTGAGACTGTCACCTCTATTCAGCCAGCAGGGTACTAGCCCTGGACTAAAGAGTCAGGGGACAGTACTCAAGCCCCAAGCTCAAGACTCATAGTGGCAGAGTACTAGCCCTGGACTGAAGAGTTAGGGGACAGCATTCAAGCCCTGAGTCTGGGACTCAAAGTGGCAGAGTGCTAGCCTTGAGCTGTAGAGCTGAGGGACAGTGCTCAGGCCCTGAGTTCGAGTCCAGCAACCAGCTAAAGGGAAATGCCAATGAGGCATTTATCCCAATGTGGAGAAGACACTCCTGGGACAAAAGCAATGGAGGAGCATCCAGAGGCAGTAAGCCACTGCTTGGATGGCAGAAATGTCAGATCCTAGTGTCATTTGTGCGTGGCCCTTCAAAACTGGTCAGAGCCGGGAGGTCATAGGAAGATAGTTTGGAAGCATGCCTAATGTTCATGACTACCTTGTAAGGGACAGGAACTTGCCAGACCTCTGTGATAGTAAAAAGCTAATGTTATAAAATGTGGGGGATAGTTTAAATCTCAACCCCTTTATGTGCCAAAAAGCTCTAATTGGCAGCTCTAATTGAGCTGACACTAGTTACATGAAGTTCATCTGCTCAGGAAAAAGTTTGCAAACCTGAGTGTGTTTCTATTAATATCTGTCTAAAGGCCTGCAAAGGTAACTTAGGCATCTTAGGCATTGTTGAGATCACATTCCTAAGCCATCTAGGAAGATGCTTTTGCAAACCAGAGTGCTAAACAAGCTACACTGCTGTAGCCGGAGAAAAGGTCTGTGCAGTTGTCAAATGTTAAATATTGTTCTTAATGACATCTAACCCTGATGGCCTCTTTATAAAATGGGCTAAGGTTATAGGTTCCTGGCTAGGTAAGATCAACGCCCCTGAAGTCAGCTTGAAGAAGTTACAGAAGATTGACCTTCGCCCTTCTACCCCCCTTGTAAGATCAAGGGTCCAGAGTCAGTTTTGGAAAAATGAGGCAAAATAGATAACAGTTGTTGATATGCAAGGTGTGGAGACTGCATCTGTCAGAGCTGGTTACAAGACTAAGCCTTCTGAGCCTTCTGTGTCTATTTACAAAAATATCTGGTTAGTAAACAAGTTGTGATGGGCTATTGTTTAAAAGATCTTAAAGACCAGCAGGATCAAAGCCTGCCAAGCCTATGCAATGTATCTTTAACCAGTCTGTGTAGGAATTTACAGCCCAGCATGAGGTGTGACAGTCCCTTGGAGCCACTGAGAGACCTTGCTGCTGCTGCTGCTGCTGCTGCTGCTGCTGCTGCTGTTGCTGCTGCATACCCTAATGGGCAAAGTTCAATGACAGCCTGACAGCCACCTGGAGAAACTCCTGCCTGATCCTATCACCTGAGTCTGCTTCCTGGTTGACTGTTGCTAAATCTAAAATCTTGTGGGACATTCTTTTGGGTGATATCCAGAAACCCTCTCTTCCCACAGTGGATATTGGGGACAAGGACATCACTGGCTTACTTGTCTTAGGCACTTCAGTGCATAGTGACTGGAAATCCACTCTATGATCACAGCCTAGTTTGGCTCTGGTACGGTAATAACCTGAGTGTGTTATCAATGGAGGTAATACTCTTAGCCTTAAAATCTAGCAAGCTTCTGCATCACGGTGGTGCCTTAAGGCTGTTCTACGTACTCCTGCAAATTTGGCCCCATATCACCTACCACCCTGATGACAGCGAGAATTAACATCCCAACAGAGCTGGTACGAAGGATTATGGAACAAGTCCCCATGGTTCACTACCCTGTTATCCTCCCTAATTGGACCACTGATACTATTAATGCTAATTCTTACCTTGGGTCCTTGCATTATAAATCGCTTGATACAATTTGTAAAAGACCGCCTATCGGTCGTACAGGCCCTAGTACTAACCCGACAATATCATCAGCTTAAATTAACGGAGGAAACTTCGGGTGAATGAAGGATTTCATTCAGGCAAAAGAAAATGGGGGAATGAAAGACCCCAGCTCATGCTTGCCCATTAGGTACCCCAAGTAAGACTGCTGCCCCTTCCCCTGTATACCTAAGAGGGTGGGGCAGGATACGTACAGGCCGCTAGCCGGGAAACGAAACCTTGGGTCTCTGAGTCACCACCCGCAGACCCTAGCATGACCCTAGTACATGCCTTAAAACCAGGCATTCCGGTAAAACAGCCGACCAACACATTCCTTCCTGTAAAACTTAGCCCTAATACAAGGGTGAGGCAGGATGTTGTAAATCACTTGTCAAAACTAGGGAACAAACAGTTTCTGTGCATAACGGCCAGCACAGGCATGTCAAGGCAAGTACTGACACGTCAGCCTCCCCCCCGGCCTCACCTACCCCATCTGGCCGACTTAACCTGACCAATCCCCACCTTAAGCGTAATTCAAAATTAACCAACCCACACCCTGTAACCAGGCATCTCGCTTCTGTAACCTTGCTTCTGCTGCCCATAAAAGAGGGTGCTTTCATGCACCACGGCGCGCAAGTCTCCCGATAGACTTTGTCGCCCCGGGTACCCGTGTACCCGGTTCCCAGCCACCCGACCCGAACCTTGTGGATCTCGAGGTCGAGTGCACCTGGGAGCCTAGGCATGCCCGAATAAACCTCTTGCTGTTTGCATCCGCACAAGTGGTCTCGTTGTTCCTTGGGGAAGGGTCTCTTCAGATTGAAGGACACCCCACGCCGTCGGGGGTCTTTCACTAATTTTTGTTTTTGGTGCTTCATTGGAAATTAGAGTCATATAAGCTTCCTTGTCCTGGGTGCTTTGAATAGTGATTCTCAAATATTAAAATCCTGAGGAGCTAGGATTACTGGGATGATTATAGCATGTGGCTAGTTGATTACCCTTGTTGTCATTGTTGTTTTAGGTTTCTTGTTTGTTTGTTTTTTCTTTTTTTGTTGGTCAGGGACTTGAGCTCTGGGCCTGGGCGCTGTCTCTAACCTCTTCAGCTCAAAGCCAGTGCTCTACCACTTGAGCTATAGAGCCACTGTCAGCTTTCTGGTGGTTTATTGGAGATAAGAGTCTCAGGGACTTTTCTGCCAAGGCTGGTTTGAACCTCAATCCTCAGATCTCAGCCTCCTGAGTAGCTAGGATTATAAGTATGAGCCACCAGCCTCCTGCTGTCATTACTTTTACTCAAATATTCAGTGTGATTTCTATGGTCAGATTCCCATGAGTGCTAAACTATTGGTGTTTTCTTAACTTAAAATGCCCTCATATAACCAGTAGAGAGTAATAATGATCCCAAACAATAAAATTATTTTAGGGAAATTCTGCCTCACTTCTCAGATATCAGTGAAAAGCTAAACAGTATTGTGGACACATAAATCATGGAGAATGAAGGCAACAGTGAATTAGATATTCTTATTTATAAGAAGGCGTATTGGTGTCAATATTGCACCATTCTCTGTTCTTTGCTACTTTTTTCTTCATTTCAGTTAAAAGGATACAAAAGGTGTAAAAACACAAATTACAATAATAATTGGTCTTTAAAATCATTATTTCCTATACAATACAATTGTCAGAAATAAAATATTTCAGTTAAACAATGTATAGCAAACTGTTTAATGAAAGAACACATGATTTGTCTTGATATGAAAAGCAACAAGGATTAGGGTTTCTCTGAAACTTTGTTACACAGCTAAAAAAGGTCTTGCACATTTTATATAATTTAGTTTAATTAACATACACATTTTAAGCTAATGAGGAAAAGAAGGATTGGTGCTTTACAACCATACCTAACTGAAGGAATAAAATGACAAGGTTAGAACTAATTTATGTAGTTTTTCTTCAGCTCTCTCTCTGGGGCTCCACAGTTCACAAGATCACAGTCTTTTACTTGTAGAAAAGACCACCCTGCAGACCAAGCTCTTGAAGGCTTGCTTCACTTGCTGATTGCGTAGTGTGTAGATGAAAGGGTTCAGGAGAGGAGCCACAGAGGTGTTGAGCACAGCTACTCCTTTGCTCAAAGTCACCCTCTCCCTTGCTGAAGGCTTAATGTACATAAAGATGCAGCTACCATAAGAGAGGGACACAACAATCATATGGGAGGAGCAAGTGGAGAAGGCTTTCTTCCTTTGACTTGTAGAAGGAATTCTCAGAATTGTACGGATGATATTTGCATAAGATAGAATTACTAGTGTCAAGGTGACCATGAGTGTCACCACGGCTAAAAAGAATGCCATGAGTTCTAGAAAATGTGTGTTTGTGCAAGAAAGCTGCAGAATTGGAGAAGAGTCACAGATGAAGTGATCGATTATATTGGAAGCACAGAAATCTAACTGTAGCAAAAGGATAATTGGGGGAAAGATGATCAGGAATCCTGCCAGCCAGCAACTAAAGACCAGAAGCATACAGACCTTGCTGCTCATGATGGTTGTGTAATGGAGGGGTTTGCAGATGGCCACATAGCGATCATAGGACATGGCAGTAAGAAGGTAAAATTCTGTCACTCCGAAGAAGATGACAAAAAATAGCTGGGCCATACAATCGTTGTAAGAAATTCTTCTGTCTCCTGTCGTGATGGTGACCAGGAATCTGGGAATGCAGGTAGATGTGAATGCTATTTCTAGGAATGAGAAGCTGCGAAGGAAGAAGTACATGGGGGTCTTCAGATGGGGATCTGAGAGGGTGAGGATGATGATGGTCAGGTTCCCTGCCACACTGAGCATGTAAGTGACAAGGAGCAATAGGAAAAGCACAACCTGCCACTGAGGGTTGTCTGTCAGTCCAAGAAGAATGAACTCTGTTACTGCTGAAGAATTTCTCATAGTTTTCTCTCTTTATGAAGGCATTCTCCATTTATCTGCAAAATAGTTGAGGAAATGAGAAATCTATTACACTAATAAAGAACTGTAGCTAAAATAATGTTTTTCTCTTTCTGGTTTATTTGACTTAGGAAAGAGAGCAAAACTGACATTTTGTATATGTGTGTATATATATACATATATATATATATATGGTGTGAATGGGTGTGTGTGGAAATACATATATAAACATAAGTAACAGGTTTTATGTTGCCTTTTTAATTATAATCATTATTATTATAAATTGTATATACCAATGTCTCCAAAAAATAAAATCTTCCAGAATGTAGCATGTATATGTTCTACAGATGAATGTGAATCACAAGGATTATAGTAAAATAATATTTTATTGTATGCTAACATATATGATAACTTACTTGGTTTCATTAGTCATTTAAGTGTATATATATATCTAAACATAATTGTAAAAATTGTGTATATATATGTATATCTACATTTTGTGAAAACACACTCTTTAAAGTACGTCTTGCTTTTTGGTTCTGAAGAAAATTTATTTTTATCATATCAAAACATTTTTCTACTCCATATTACCTCAAACAATACTTATTCCATTATTGCCTTCATTTCCTTATATATTTGGTATAAATATCTTCTGAATGATTCCATATATTTCCTAAAATGAAGAAAAATATTTTTTATATTTTACATTTTATAATTTTATAATTATAATATATAAAATATTTTATAATTCTGTAACTAAGAACTTTTCACACAAATCACGTAGAACTTGTTCCCTGTTCCATACAGTACTTGGGTATAATAGTGTTGATGTCCTCTTAGTTCTTAAAAATTTGTCTGTCTTAAAACAGATCTTTTTCTACCTCAAGGCAAACTTTTGCAACATACGAAGGTAATGCACTGGTCCAATATAATCCTGTCCAGTTATCACATATGGAGATGTCTTATAGGTGGCTCCAATCGAAATTCAACGTTTCTGCTCCAGTATAATTAACTATTTGTAAAGAAGGTCTTTGTAATACTTTGAAAATACTATTCTGGAATATATTCTTGCTTACCAATCTCTCCTGAATCTTCTCTCTGATACAAAGCAGTTTATAAATAAGGAAGTTAATTTTATCTTGCTTTTGAAAAGGTCTCCCTATATAATCCAAGTGAACCCATGATCCCCTTGTTTCAGTCATCATGCCTTGCAACGCCCTCCCCAATTTTATTTTTGTAAACTGCAAGTGCTCCTACTTGCAGTATTTTCAAAATCATAAAAGAGTTCTCCCTAGCATACTTTGATCCCTTTTTTATGGCTTATGAATGGTAACAGTTCAACAGTCAAGCTAAATTTTTCAGGAGAGAATGATTATTTTCTTTTTTTTTTTTTGTATATTTTAAGGATATTACTGTTCATACTATACCACAATCTATTTAGTTATTCCTTTAAAGTTGGTTCACAGTGATACTCACTAGACACTATGTTGGAAATGAACTTTTCAACAGGGGAAAGGAGCATGGGGGGGGTGGATAATGGGAGAAAATTAAGGAGAGGGTAACACTGTTCAAAAAGAAATGTAAATAAGACCTTACTTATGGAACTGTAATGTGTATCACATTTACAATAAAATAAAACAAAGTTGGTTCAAAGTTTTAGATATGCTGGCCTCTATAACACTTTCTTTAAAAAACTGAGTATCCAAACAGCTGCCACTTTTCTGTTGTTTTCTGTGTTTTTTGTAGGTGTCATTGTATTAAATGGAATAACATTCTCTAAGGATTAACCACTGGTTTCATAAGTGACGGAATTTACACAAATACTTTATGTACAATACTTCTAAAAGGGATAAATACTCACATTCTCACCTCATTTCTTTGCAGCCAGATGATATGCAGCTTTGAGTCTTTTTGCTTTAATATGATTGTTACTGATATATGCTGTCTATGAAACGCACATTGTACTAAACTGAAATTTAAAGAGGTCATTTTTAAGGGTAGGCCCTTTTTTACAAAAAGGATTCCATGGTTTCCAGATATTAATTATAGTACAAATTAACATTACTTGCTATCTAGAGAAGAACATGAAAAATCCTGCTTTCCTCTAAATCACAAAATGTTCATGCAATAGCAGACAAAATATCACAGAAGCTATTGGTTTGCAGTAGTTGAAATTTGTTCATTTATACAATTCATTGGAATTGTGTTGATGATTTTATTTGTATATAATTTTGTCATGAAATCACGTCAATAAAATACAAGTATACACTACTAATGCAAACTTTTTTATTTTTTTGATGCCCCTCTCCCCACTAATGCAAACTTTTTATACCTCAAACAATACCTTAAAGAATAGTGACTTCAGATACACATGACTGATTTAATCAAAGTCATTTGCTTAAACATACATTATTAATTCATAGAAAATAGGTCTCTGGAATTTTTCCAGAGTTTAACAATTAATTTCCTCTCTGCTATCTTATATTTGTAAGCAATTATCCAAAATATTCATTTTTTTAAAGAAGACCAATTCCAGGATATACTCAATAATGTGTATAGGTTCAAGCATCAAACCATTTGTATCCATGAATACAAAGCAATAGAAAGTTTAAGGTCCCAGTTAGCCTACCTATGACTCTTAAAGAAGTATTATCTTGACACTTGAAACAAGTGGCAGTTCAAATGAAGACTAATGTGACAAGGATAGGCTATTCTGTGCAGAAACAACATTAATCCTGCTAGCCATCATTTACTTGTTCTATTTACAGTGGACTCATGGGGATTCACTGAATGAATAAACAAAAATTGCCGTGGAGATGGGTGTTCTCAAGATACCATCTGCTAAACAGTAGCCCAAATTAGTACATATTTAGAACAGACTAGATGATAATGGCCTGAAATTAGAAGTTTGAAAAGAAATTTGTACCTTCATAATTATTTCATAATGGGAATTTTAAAACTTGCATAATAGAAATTCGAACTCTGCAAATAGCAATAAAAGACAATTATCAACAAGTGGTACTTTCTACTTTAGGGAAAAATAAGCATTCATTGTAATGTTTTAGAATATCTTTAGATTTCCATTTTTCTATGGCAAAACAATATCCCAGATTTGCCTTTTTTAAGATTTAAATCTTTCCACTGATATACAACAAAGAAAAATTGATCAAGACTAATAGTTATTACCATTTATTTATTCACTAATTTATTTTGGATACTTGCTAGATGTTGAGTTCTAATTTAGTTATACAGCAATGATAAAACATCCTTTGACGTAAGTTTTACTTTTATATAAATATATAACAATATTGCATGATTTTGCAATCTCACAGTTCTTTCTCTGAATCAAATGTAAGGAATATTTTCTGGCATCATCGCCTGGCAACTCCTTGACTCAGAAAGACATATATAATCACCTCTTCACTCGTACTTTAAGACTTTACTTTGGTTGATATTTAATCTGGGGGGGCCCATAAATAAAATAAATATTTTTATCTAAATGGAAATTAGAATTGTCTTAGGATGCATGATAATTTCTAACACTAATGTAGCATTATTTTTCTGTTTCTTTCGAAGACATACACTTATTCAAAATATGGTGCTGCTGAAGAAAATAGAGTAAGGAATATGGAGTGCTAGCATTCTACAGCAAGATATCTAGGCTCAATTGAATGTATTTTCAAATGATTTCTTTATTTTAATCATTTATTCTGCCTTTACTAATTGTCATTCTTTTTGCTTGTTTGTATTTTTGTGTGTGTGTGCCAGGCCTAGGTCTTGAACTCAGGGCCTGGATACTGTGCCTGAGGTTTTCTGCTCTATGACGTGACCCACAGTTCTAGTACCAGCTTTTTCTGAGTAGTTTACAGGAGATAAGAGTCTCATGAACTTTCCTGCCCAGGCTGGCTTAGAACTGCAATCTTCAGATGTCAGCCTTCACGGTAGCTAAGATTACAGGCATGAGCTACCCACACCCAGCCTAGTTGGCATTTTTGTATGAAAAAGAATTATTTCTTTTTATTTCTCATTAAACATTCAATCACTTTTTCACAGTTCTCACTTACAAATATTGATTTTGTTCTTTGGCTCATAATCAGATACTTTATTTTCCTCTAATTCTTCAGCTTTGGTCATTGTTCTTCCAGAATAATGGCTGTTGCCTTCTTATAGGCTCCAGGGTTAGTTCTGGCTTTTTGGTGAGGTTTTCATAGTATCTTAGTAAACAGGTATGAGAAACCCGGGAATATATCATTTGCTCCATGCATGCAAATGCATATTTATGTATTATTGTTTATTTATAGACACAACTACACACAAGCACACAAAAACAAAGCACAGCTTTAGGTCTGTATGCATTGACTGGCAAAATTAATTTATATCTCACTTATATTGCCTTGTGCACCCGTAATTAGTTTCTATTCAGTAGAAATAGAATTCTATAATATGATATGCCATTTTTCCATTCATTTATTAGCGAACATGAGGGCATTCTCCAGTTTATTGCTATTATGAAGAGAGCTGATATATGCAGTAATATAGATGTGTTTGTATAAGTATAAAATTGTCATTTAGGAATGAGATTTCTATGGAGGTTTTGTTGCTGAGAACTGAAAAGAGTAGGCTCACTCACACATGAGAATTCAAGCCTCTCAGGAGGCTGGAATCCAGAGGCTCGAGGACAGACAGGAAAGAATACCTTCGTTTCTACTTTCAGCAATTCCACTCCTGGGCACTTTCTCCAAAAAATAACAAGCCAGGAAACAGTAAAGCCACCAGCACAACCATATTTATTGCAGCACTATTCACTATAACCAAGATATGGAATCAGCCCAGATGCCCTTCAATGGATGAATGGATGAAGAAAATGTGATATAGGTATATAGATGTAATGGAATTTTACTCACCATTTTAAAAGTGATATTGTACCATTGGTAAAGAAAAAGAAAGACATGGAAAAAATATATTAAGTGAAGTAAGTTAAACTCAGAGAGACTGGGTATATATTTGATCCTAATCCTGGAGTTTAA